CCTCAGTTTGTTTCCTGCGATTAAGAATTCCTCATATCAGTGAGGTCATATGATACATGTCTTTCTCTGTTTGACTTATTTCGAGAGCAGCAGCAACTTTAAAAAAAAACAAAAAACTTTAGATATAAGTCATTTTTCCATCTTTAATCTATAAACTAAGGGTTGTTTTGTTTTTTCCTTAGGAGGTCCTATGATGGTAACAGTGGGCTGCTCTGAAGCTAGGAAATATTCCTATGTTATGGAAACTGTTGGTTTGAAATCTTGAATGGACTGCATACTGACTGTATACTTAGGGCCTACAATGCAATTTTTGTTCCTTTCTGTTTGTTTTTGATAAATCTGATCTCATTTTCATTAGCCATTTTATATTATCTTTGGAGTACAAAATTTGCAGGGTCCCATGGCTGTTCTTCTGCCAAATTAACTACAGATTCAAAAGTTGATACAGGGGCACCTGGGTGGCTCAGTTGGTTGAGGGTCTGACTCTTGGTTTCGGCTCACATCATGATCTCAGGGTCATGAGACTGAGTCCCGTGTAGGACTCTGCGCTCAGGGCAGGGTCTGCTTGAGATTCTCTCCTCCACCCACCACCCCCCAACTCCGCTCACGCTTGCGCTCTCTCTTCCTCTCTAAAATAAATAAAGATACAGTCTGGGGCGCCTGGCTGGCTCATCAGTGGAGCGTGCAACTCTTGATCTCAAGGTCAAGCTGGGCATGGAGCCTACTTAAAAAATAAATAAAATGCTATTTAAAACAAAACAAAACAAAATTTAAAAAGCCAAAAGTTGATACAGTCTTCCCTTAAACATTGAAAACATTATCATTTATTATCTAATAATAATGATTATTAGTTACTTTAGTTTTCTTCTCAGCAAAAATTCTTTCTCTGGTTAGTATGCTCTATCTATCGATCCATCTATTTATAAGATTTTATTTATTTGACAGAGACACAGCGAGAGAGGGAACACAAGCAGGGGGAGTGGCAGAGGGAGAAGCAGACTCCCTGCTGAGCAGGGAGCCCGATGCCGGCTCGATCCCAGGACCTGGGATCCTGACCTGAGCCAAAGGCAGATGCTTAACGACTGAGCCCCCCCAGGCTCCCCTGGTTAGTATGCTTTAGTATTAAAATACTACTATCTGCTTATTGAACACCTACTATATCCTAGATATAGCAACAGGTGCTGCATAAATATCACATCACTTCATTTTCACCACCCTGTGAAGTTAGCATTATGATCTCCATTTGACAGATGAGTAATCTGAGGCTCAGAACTGCCTGAGCTTTTAACCTTCTCAATACTGCCTCAAAGAAATAGAGGAAATATTATATGACAGATTTTTATCATTTTGTGCTTTTCTAAAACTTTATTTTATTATTTTTAAAATATTTTATTTATTTGAGAGACAGAAAGAAAGCGTGTGAGAGCAGGGGGAGGGGTGCAGAGAGAGAAAATCTCAAGCAGAGTCTGCACTCATTGCGGAGCCCTACGCAGGGCTCGATCCCACAACCCTGAAATCATGATATGAGCCAAAACCAAGAGTCAGATGCCTAACCAACTGAGCCACCCAGGCACCCCAATCATTCTGTGCTTTTAAAAAATGCATGAACAAATGCAAGTTCATGTAGTCAGCTGCTGCAACCATGCACGGGAAGTCAAGAAAAGTCCTCTGTTCCTAGGACTATAGGGGACAAACTAGTGAGCTCCAGCAGACCCCCAAGCCTAAATTTCACCTTTGCTAGAACATGGGTTTGAAACACAAGGAAGAACACAAACTACATAATCTCTCAGATCACTTCCAACTCATGACTTCTATAATTCGAACTCCCATGAGAATGATTATTTTATGTAACAATCTACTGGACAGCAGGACAGCATATGACGGCTTAGGTTTCCAAATCCAATAAGTATGTATGTATGTATTTAAAGTTCATTTATTTGGGTGCTTGGGTGGCTCAATCGGTTAAGCATCTGCCTTTGGCTCAGGTCATGATCCCGAAGTCCTGGGATTGAGTCCTGCATCGGGCTCCCTGTTCAGCGTGGAGTCTGCTTCTCGCTCTGCCCCTCCCTCTGCTCATGCTCTAATAAATAAAATAAAATCTTAAAAAAAAATTTATTTATTTAAGTAATCTCTACACCCAATGTGGGGCTTGAACTCATGACCCCGAGATCAAGAGTTGCACGCTCTTCCAACTGAGCTAGCCAGGCATCCCTTTTAAGGTTTTTTTTTAAATTTATTTAAGTAATCTCTACACCCAATGTGGGGCTCCAATGACCCCAAGATCAAGAGTCCAAGTATTTATTGATGGGATTCCCACCCTAGCTTACCCTAGAGGGATTCCCTATTCCATGAAAGTGAATCAGAGTTCTTAAAATAAATTTTACCATGCTATTTCCATCCTACACCACTTTCTTTAAGGGCGGGGAAAGTGCAGATGAAAGTTTAATAAACTGGAAAGCATTTGTTAACAGAAATCACAAACTGCGTCCTGTCAGGCTAAGCAACAGCTTACTGTACTCAGCCACGAGTTACCTGTAAAGAAGGAACTAAAAACAGAATCCCTGGATGGGTTATCAGGGATGAGAGAAAAACTTACCTTTCAGGTTATATCTTTTTTAACACTGAATTAATTAATTAATTAATTTTTTTTCTTTTCAAAAATTTTTTTAAAGATCTTATTTATTTGACAGAGAGACACAGTGACAGAGGGAACACAAGCAGGGGGAGTGGGAGAGGGAGAAGCAGGCCTCCCGTCAAGCAGGGAGCGCAATGCGGGGTCTCGATCCCAGGACCCTGGGATCATGACCCGAGCCGAAGGCAGACGCTTAACGACTGAGCCACCCAGGTACCCCAATTTATTATTATTATTTTTGTATTAATTTGTATTATCTTAATACACAACATAAACTAGAAGAATGCTATGGATCAGTTAATGAGACACACTGGCTCATTTGGCCCAGACATGAATAATTAAAAACAACAGCAACAAAAAGTCTTTCTTCTTTTTTTAAGTGAGCTCTTTCAGACAAAAGTTAAAAATTAAATACGCACCTTCCAACCTGGTATGTGGGGACAGCTGTAGTTCCAAATCTTTGCATTCCATAGTAGTTAATAAATCCGATCTCCTTGAGAGAGTTCATAGCTTGCTGAACTTGGTCATCAGTTCCTGTTATATTTCTGTAGGGGCCCAAGTTACCCAGAGAAGAAACTGAGTCAAACACATTCAGGGATGCAGATCATTAATGATATGGCTTGGCTTCCATGTCTTTCCCTTATCCCCTGCAGCTTTCTCTCTACCTGCTGAGGACTCTATGTTTTTGTTTTTGTTTTTTTTAAATTGTGGCAAAATATACATAACATTAAATTGACCATTTTGGCCATTTTTAAGTATACAACCTAGTGGCTTTAAGTACACCGACAATGTTGCGCAACATTACCCACTAGCTACTTCCTGAACTTTCCACTCTTCCCAAACGGAAACCCTGTACCCATTCAACAACAGCTCCCTGTCCCCCTCTTAGGCTCCCCTGCCCCAGGTAACCCTGTTCTACTTCCTACGTCTGTGAATTTGCCCATCCCAGCTACTGCCTATAAGCGGAGGCAGGGGCTTTTCGTCTCTTAACACTGTGTTTGAAGCACATGGCTCCTTTCCAGCAGAGGCGCCGAGTTTCGAGAGGTGAGGGGGTGTCGGTACCAATTCTCCAGCACTATTTGCTCTCCCAGCCCTTTCAGGCTCCGCTTGGCCTTCCCTCGCTGCCACACCTGCTCGAACCAGCTCACCTGGATTAGAAACTGATCCGAACAGACCCTCTCTGGTCTGCACTCCTCCCTGCAGGTTTTTACCTGAGGACAACAGTGAAGTGATTCCCTTGAAGCTCTCCCAGTTTCAGAGGGTTTTTCTGATAGCTGAAATTCCCCAGTTTAAAGTTCATCAAGCACTTGTTCAAGTGGGCAAGTCTTTGAGCGGTTATTCTAAAAAACAGAAAATAAAAAAGGAGCACAAAGAGGATCATGAAATACTGCCTGACTGAAATAGTCTCGGGCACCCAACTACAAGAAACGACAGCTCGAAACAAGACTGCACACCAAGCTATGAGAAGCGGAAACACAGGCACCACGGCAGCTGGGCCGAGCACACTTTTCATTTCCCTCTGGATTGTTCCTCCAGCAAAATGATACTGGTTCAACCTTACTGGATAGATTAACCTGGGCCACATTTATATTCATAAAGCCTCGTGTGATTTATAATGATTAATGGAACAATCATATCTACTTTTTCTGAGAGGGAAGGGGGATAATAACAGACAGCAATCCCATACAACCGTAAAGACTGTTATTAAACATTTTAAAGAAGAGTTAGTCCTATTTTCATCTATCAGAAAAATACTGTAATCTAACTAAGGAAACTTGAAAACATAGAAAAGAAAAACAATGCAGTTTCATCACCTGGAAAAAAAATCTGCTAATATCTAACTTTGCATTTCCTCCTGTTCTTTTTTTAAACATGTTTTATAGATAGATAGATAGATAGATAGATAGAGATGGCATTCTACCACAAATGTGTACCTTACTATCATTTAAAAGGTGTAAGAATGGGGCACCTGAGTGGCTCAGTCGGCTAAGCGTCTGCCTTCAGCTCAGATCATGATCCTGGGGTCCTGGGATGGAGCCCCGGGATCGTCATCGTAAAAGGAGCTTCTCCCTCTCCCTCTGCCCCTTCCCCTGCTCTCTCTTGCTCTCTCAAAAAAACCAAAAAACCTTTAAAAGGTATAAGGAAATTTTCATGAAAAATTCCTTAACTTCTTTAATAGTAATTTATGTAGAAAAACAAATTCAGAACTGAAAAACCTATGTCCGATCTCTATCCCTTGGCACCTCTCCCCACCTGCAACCCATGTTAACAGTTTATTGTGCATCCCTCCAGAAACAATTTATGTATATAGAAGCATATATGTACCTACACTCTTCTCCCTTTCAGGAATTTTTTGGTAAGTTCTTTATATGTTGTTTATATGGTTTTCAATTAGCAATAATCGCGCCTCGGATAAACCTCATTGGCTACGATACTGCCACTGCGCAAAGCTATATATGTTGTTTATATGGAAAAATACACAGCTCCTAAGTGTTCTGCTTGACGAATTTTCACCAAGTGAACACAACCATGTAACTAGCACCCAGATCCTCCCCCTCTTTTGTTACATTATAAATTGTTCAGCATCTTGCCTTTTTTTTAAAATAAGATTTATTTATTTTTAGAGAGAGAGTGCGTGAGCAGAGTAAGGGGCCGAGGGAGAGGGGAAGCAGACTCCCTGCTCAGTGGGGAGCCCGATGTGCGGGCTCGATCTCCAGACTAGGAGATCATGACCTGAGCCGAAATCAAGTGTCAGATGCTTAATTGAGCCACCCAGGAGCACCAGCATCTTGCTTTTTTTTCCACATAAAAATGCATATCTGAGATTTGCATTATCCACACAGACTTTTTTATTTATTTATTTATTTATTTGACAGAGAGACAGCACAAGTAGGCAGAGCGGCAGGCAGAGGGAGAGGGAGAAGCAGGCCTCCCGCCGAGCAGGGAGCCCGACGCGGGGCTCGATCCCAGGACCCTGGGACCATGACCTGAGCTGAAGGCAGATGCCCAACGACTGAGCCACCCAGGCGCCCCTCCACACAGACTTCGGAGGCTGCCGCATTCTTTGTCCAGCCGCATGGGATGGCTGCTGTCCTGCATATGTAATCCTTTTTGTGACCCCCTTTGATGGACATTTAAATTGCTATTTTACTGTTACAAACAAGTCTAAAGCAAGTATCCTTATACATACTTCTTTGTGCATCTATACAGGTGCATGCCTGGAATAAATTCCTAGACGCGGGAGGTGTAGATTTTAAATTTTACTGCCGACTGCCCTTTAAGAAAGTTTTATCAATTTATGCTCACACCATCAACCTGTAAATGCCTACTGCCTCATCCCTGTGTCTCCTGCCATAGCCTATTATAAACCTTTCTGAGGTCTGCCAGACCATTAAAAATGCTATTTCCTTGGTTTTTATTTGCACACTTCCTATTGTGAGGTTAAACATTTCTACACATGTTGGCTGTGAACTGCCTGTTTGTCCTGTTACCTATTTTTTACCTATTTTGGATTGTTATTATTTTTCTTACTGTTTTAACAGAGTAAGGAAATCTGTCCTTTACCACACAGTTTGCAAATATTATCTCCCATTTTGTGAGTTTAGATTATTTATTTATTAAAGATTTTATTTGACAGAGAGAGAGACAGCGAGAGAGGGAACACAAGCAGGGGGAGTGGGGCAGGGAGAAGCAGGCTTCCCGCTGAGCAGGGAGCCCGATGTGGGACTTTATCCCAGGACCCCGAGATCATGACCTGAGCCGAAGGCAGATGCTTAACAACTGAGCCACCCAGGTGCCCCATTTATTTATTTTTTTTTTTAAAGATTTTATTTATTTGAGAGAGAGAGAGCATGAGCTGGGGGGAGAGCTGAGCAGGGAGCCTGATGCAGGGCTCAATGCCAGGACCCTGGGATCATGACCTGAGCCAAAGGCAGACACTTAACTGACTGAGCCACCCAGGTGTCCTGAGTTTAGTTTATTTACAGTAGTTTATACATTAGAAAATTTCCCCCCAGTTATATTTTAAAAAATTCAGAACTGGAGAAAAATGGCAACACTGTACCTTATACTTTCCAGGAGATTTACCAATTGTTAACTCCCACCCCCACCCCCAACTTTATATATCTCTTTCTAATCAATGAACACCCACACATTACACACACATGCACACACAGAGACATAAATGTGAAATCTGAATACTTCACTGAACAATTCTGAGTTAGTTGCAGACATCACACCTTACCCCTAGTGGCCCCTGTGTGTGTCTCCTAGACCCCTACCCAAGCGGGTCACACTCAGAAAGCCTAACATGAATTCGACACTACTGACAGGCGGTCCATATCCACATTCACCCCATTACCTGATAACAACATTTTAAGCTCCCTGAATTCAGGATCTAACTAAGGACCACATACTGCCGTTGTGACATCCAGTTAGTGTCCACTAAGCTGCTTGGCTCGGCCCAGCCTGTGCTTTCTATTGGTATCTGACTTTTAGCAGAATCCAGGCCAGCTGTTTCCCACCGTGCCTTTACATTCGGATTTGACGATTGTTTCCTTGTGATTAGACTTAAACACATTACTTAGGTGATGCGATGGCCTTTTCAGTGTATCCCAGCAAAAGGCAATAATACTCAGTTTGTCCATCACTCACGGTGATAAATTTAATCACTGGGTTAGGATGGTATGTGTTAGGCTTTTCTATTGTAAAGGGACCTTTCCTCTTAGATGGATTATCCTGTTCCCCATAGTCTTTCATCCGCCTGTTCAGGTACCCTAGGATTCTTACTACTTCAAGCAAAAACTAGTGTGCTTACTACTTCAAGCAAAAACTATAGGGTCGCCTGGGTGGCTCAGTTGTTAAGCATCAGCCTTCGGCTCAGGTCATGATCCCAGGGTCCTGGGATCAAGCCCCGCATCGGGCTCCCTGCTCAGCAGGAAGCCTGCTTCTCCCTCTCCCACTCCCCCTGCTTGTGTTCCCTCTCTCGCTGTGTGTCTCTCTGTCAAAATAAATAAAAAATCCTAAAAATAAATAAATAAATAAATACTATAGAGTAAAATTTTAGTTATGTTCATGAATCTTTTTTTTTTTTTTTTTTAATAGTTCTGGGATTTAGGATTGCCTGAGTGGCTCACTTGGTTAAGCATTTGCCTTCAATTCAGGTTGTGGGATCGAGCCCCATGTCGTCGGGCTCCCTGCTCAGTGGGGAGTCTGCTTCTCCCTCTCTGCTTGCTCTGTCAAATAAATAAAATCTTGAAAAAAAAAAAAAGAATAGTTCTGAGGTTTAAGACATACTCAGAAAGGGTATCCCTAGCCAGAGATTTTTTTTTTTAAAGTTTCCCAAATGTAAATAGAGTACTTTTACAGTTTTATTGTTTTGCTTTGTTTTCAGTTAAAAAGGGCACTTTTCTGTTGTTTCCTTTTGGCTTACAGTAGTAATTACTTTTTATCACACCTCATTTAGAGCAGTGCTAGCCTCTGTGCGTTCACCAACACACCAATCTTCACTACTGGGGTTTTCTAAGTTTACATCGGTTGTGGAGAAAACTAAAAGACCTCAGGGCACTGCTGCTCCAGGGGCTCTGAGTGGGAGCTTCTGTTTTTCCTTCCCCAGTCCACCTCTGATGCCAAACGTGGGCCACTTACAAAGGAGGGGGACACGGGACAGGTCATGTTGACTCGGGAAGGTCTTCCTGCTCTCGCCCCCGGCTTTAAATCATGGAGTCTCCTCATCCTAAGCAACAAGGAGGTGAAGGAAAGAAGTGGGAGAGTGTTTTTCACACACAAACTGGCAACCATGTCAACAGCTAGCTATACTCAGTGGCGTGGGCTCCACATTTTAGATCAACGGGGTCACACATACCTTTCCGCTTTATGGCCTTTTAAAAAAGCAGACTGTGGACTATAAAAACTACACCAAGGACCTGGCTACAAAAAAATAAATATTTACCTATCGGTATCCGCGTGCAGTGGCACTGCGGCTGGGGCCGGTCTTTGACCAGCTCTGCAGGCCTCTCCCGGTGATCTTCTTTGCTTCAAAGTAAAGTTTTCTTTGTGCGGGGGGGGGAAATCTGGCAAAGCACTGCCACTTTACCCACTCAGGGGAGACATACAAAAACGTCAGCACGGATTCTTTCATACAGCGTTGTTTTTTTTAACGTTTAAATTTTCGATTCACCTGGAATTTATTTACAATAGGGAACTGAGGTAAGGAGTCAAATTTTTTTTTTCAGATGGTTATTCAGTTATCTCAACAACATTCATTGACTCAACCATCTTTTTTCTGATTTTTTTTTTTTTT